CTCGTTAAAGGTCTATCATTTATATGATTTGTTCAACTATGACAACAATTGACCGTTCCGACGTCCGGATAAAGAACATTTAAAATACCTATATTATAATTAATATAATATGAGATTAACATATTGAAATATTTTTATATATAATATAAATGAAATAATTCTTATATATTTATTATAATTATAATCTATTTTCACGGTTATTTTCATTTGCCGTTTTTTGTTCCCTTCAAACAAATCTTAAACGAAACGAAACGAAACGAAACGAAACGAAACGAAACGAAACGAAATGCAAATTAAATAGTTAACCTTGAATCATATTCATTTATGTTTATGCCATTCGATATTGATTGTTACTCGAAAATTTATTTTCATTATCTTGAATAGAACAATTCATTCTATTATATTAGATTTATCTTTATTTAAGACAATATTTTTTTATCATTTATTATTAAAAAGTTTTTACTAAAATAATTTTTTATAAAACAAAAAATATTTTGTTTTTGTTTATCAATGATTGAATTATTTGAAAATATAATTGTTGATTTGATTAAGAAAGATAAATACTTAAGAATATATATTTAAATTGCTCATAGAATAGAAACTAATCAATATCGGAAAATTTCTCCTTTTTTCTTTTTTTTCAATTCAAACTAAATTAAGATTAGTTAGTATTTTAAATAAAACAAAAATTTAATAGAGAAAATATATTTATTCTTAGCTATTTTCTTGTGTCGAATAATTCCGATTTTAAAGAGAAAATTGTTTTTATTGAGATAAATCACGAATAATTATCTTGTTTTGTTTTGTTTGGTTTTTCTATGTTAAAATGTAAAATATAAAATGTAATTTCTGTTCAAATGAATAAATGAAAGATTATTTTGTTTTTATTTCTATTAAACAAACAAACAAACAAACAAACAAACAAATAAAGAAAGAAAAAAGAAAAAAAAAAAAAAAAAGTTGATACGCATATAATTGTTTGATGATGATGCGATGTATATATGTATGTATTTATATATATATATATATATATTTCACTGTTAAATTCTTCGATGATATTATTGTTAATTGTGGAATGAGAATATCTGACATAAACAATGTCCGACTGATTAAAACAAAAAAATCATTTGAAAGGTTTAAATGCACCAATAGTTGTTGTTGTTTGACTTGTCGTCGTATTTTGTCTTTCTAAAAAAAAGAAAAAAACTTATTTGTATAAAGATTAAAGAGTTACTGACGTGATCAATTGGATATATTACACTTGACTGAGAGATGAATAGAAAAGCTTTAACAAATAAAATAAAACAAACCTTGAAGAGATGTTGAAGATGATCGATGAGGATTTTTTTCAGCCATATCAGCAAGTGACCAAATTCCTGAAGATTTTTTTCTTTCAACTGGTTCAATTTCATCAAATTTTCGTTTTCGAGATGAATCATCTTTAAAATTAATATTAAATTCTTATTAGAAAAGGAAAACAAAAACGAAAACATTTATTTTTCTAATTAAATAAACCTGTTGTTGTTGTTGTTGTTGTTGTTGTTTGTTGTGTTTGGATATGTTGATGTTGAAGAACAGTAAGAGGAGCTGATAGATAATGATTTTGTGTTGTTATTCGTGCTGGTGGGGAACTACATTCATCATCACTAACATCACTGTTTGATCCGACACCTTGTCGATCATCATCATCATCATTCGTTCTTTAGTTTTTTTAAAAATTTATAAATAACAAATAATTAGAATAAAATAAAAATGGAAAAACTTTTTAATAGTTTACCTATTTCTTGGTGACCAAGTCATTTTATTTTCTTTTTTTAATCTTCTTCTAGCATTAGCAAACCAAGTTGAAACTTGTGTTAAAGTCATTTTCGTCATAATAGCTAAATAAACTTTTTCGGATTTGGTTGGATAAGGATTTTTTCTATGTTCATATAACCATGCTTTTAATGTTGCTGTTGTTTCTCTTGTGGCATTTTTTCTTCTACCAGCTAAATCCATATGAGGAGAATAACTAAAAAAAAAACAAACGAGAAAATATTTAAAAGATGAAATCTAAATCTAAATAAAATAATTTACGATGGTCCATATGGTGAATAACCAATAAGAGCAACAGCTGCAGCTGGATCATATACATATGGATTATGATGTCGCCATGGATTTCCATTTATTAATGAATTCATATTTACATTTGATTCCTTTGAATAAAATAAATTATTTTATTTATATTTATTATAAATAAAATATTACTTTTATTGTATCAGATGGATTAAGACCGGTTATCCTATAAAAAGAATTTTTCCAAATGTCAAATCAAATGTTTTTTTTATCATCATAAAACTTACATAATTAAAAAGAAACAAAAAAACTAAGCAAGTGTTTGGTTGTTGCCTTTCTCTTTTTTATGTTTGCTAGTTGGCTATGTTAATATGTTGTTAAACGAATAGGCATAAGAACAAGAGAGAAAGCGGAGAAAAAGAAAAACTAAGATTGTTTCTTGTTGTAGACACGATTGATACTCTCTTTTCTCTCATCCACCCTATTTGTCGATAAACTATTCAAGAAAAAAATCTTATTGGTTGACATTCGAACGAGACACCATGTTTTACATTCTTGTTCGAGTACCTTGTTAACATCGCCAACGGGTGAAAGAAGAAGAAAAAAAAAAGAAACTTTTTCTCTTCTTATTGGATAAAGAAATAGAAGAAGAAGAAGAACAAGAACACGAACAAGAATAAGAATAAGAATAAGAAGAGAAAAGAAAAAAGCAACACTAATAATGAAGAATAGTGCCCTAAGTAAATCATCGAGTCATTATAGAAGAGAGAAGAGAGAGAAGAGAGAGAAGAGAGAGGAGAGAAGAGAGTGGCCTCACCCTCTTAAGTCAACATCAACATGACGACAACGACGCCATTCCCCACTTCTTCTTCTTGTTCTTCTTGTTCTTCTTCTTCTTCTTCTTCTTCTTCTTCTTCTTATTCGTTTTTCAATAAGCAAACATTGCATTTATCGACTCAAATGGAGACAATTATTCTCCAGTTACTCTTACTTATCAACAACAAAAACTAAAGAACATAAACATTCAATATTATGTTTGTCTTTCACCATCTGCAACTCACTTAGTTTTTTTATAAATGGAATTTACTTTAAATGAATCTCGTTTTTTCTTTTTTTGTTATTGTCTATTAAAGTGTTAAGAATGATTTAGATCGTGTCGAAACCTTTTAACTTTGAAGATAAGACAAGACACATAGTTAATGTCAAATGACACATATTGATTTAAAGAAAATTATGTAATTGTCTATAGATAGATGTCTGATGATGATTATAATCATCATGATCATCATCATAGAATGACTATCGAATAAACAACAATATGCAGACATTGGCTTCTTTTTTTTCTTACTCTAATTAGAGAATATCTGCTTGTTTAATTGGACTCATAGAAGAAGTCAAGATGATTGATGAGACAAGGAATGTGTCGTATTTTCTTTTGTCAGTCTCCACCGTAATACAATTCATACGCTTGTTTTACATAATGATGTATCGATATGTGACGACAGATAAGCACCTTTCCATAGATTGACAAATCTTTTTCTTTTTTCTTATCTCTTTAGAAGATAATATTTTATTCTTATTCTTATTCTTATTCTTATTCTTATTTCTATTAGAAAATGAAATTGAAATATAAAGATCAAATGATAATTGACACTTTTTTAAATTCGATTGACCATATTGAGTTAATCAAAAAAGAAGAAAAAAAAAAAAAAGAGAAGCTTAAGTACTTGTGAAATTGTTTTATCAACATTGACAATTGAGACAACGAGATGAGAAGAATAACTTATTTTTCAGTGACACTCGTTTCTATTCATTTTCTTCAATAGACAGAAGATTAAAAGATACTCTACTCCTATGTAAATATATACAGATTCTTTTCCATCAACGAGCCTTTTTTTTTTTTTCTTTTGTTTTTAATCATTCTCTAAGAGAGGAATAAGTTTAGTTCCGGCAGAATTCCAATAGAATAGAAAAGCATGTCGGACCACAAGTGGACGTATGAGCAAATAACAAACTACTGTAAGAGCGTATGATCGCTCCCTTCCGTTCACTTCTTCCTTTATTATATTGTATATGACCGGCAATCGATAGTCAACCAATAAAAATAAAAATTTCTTTTTTCGCCTCATAATCAACTAAAGAAAAAAGAAAAAAGAAAAAAGAAAAAAAAAAGAAGCAGAACAATACTTGTTTAACTTTAATAGAAAAGAAGTTTTGTTTGTTTTTTTTTTTTTTTTTTTTTTTTTTTGGAACNCTGAGGGGATACAAAGCTGAATGCTGATTCTCAGAAGAATAAAATTGAGTTCAGACTTTTCAGATGCATATACCGTAGTAAGACACATCTCCTTTATGAGAACACGCAGATTTTCTCTAATTTATAGAGTAGGTTCAACTTTTTTGAAACCTCAGAATCTTTCAAAATCTTTCAAAATCTTTTAAAATCTCTTAAAATCTCTCAAAATCTTTTAAAATCTTAAAATCTTAAAATCTGCTTTTCCCCCCTTGCACAAAAACCATACTACAATCAAATGAATGAACAAACAAACAATAAGACTTTAAGCAAAAAGAATAATATTTGTACACTTCAAGTGAAATTCATTATTTAATGTGTCCATCCGTTTCATGTTTACTTTTGTTGATCTTTATTGATTCGACTTGGAGTTGGTTCCTTTGAAGTACTTGTAATGGACTCATCTAAGGCAACAAGAAAATAAGAGTCAGTGGATACTTTATAAAATGAAATTTTTTTAATTTTAACTTACTGATTGTTGCTTGTAACTTTAACGGTCTTTCCTGGTTGCGACGCTTACTGAGAATAGAATCGTGCACGGCTGGTCAAACCATGGCCATATCCTTCGTGAAATAATTAAATTTTTGCCTAATAGCACCTACAACAAACAAAATAACATGAAAATTGATATAACATTGTTTAGAAATGTTATTGATTATGTACCATATATTGCTTGAATTCGTGGGTCTTCATCAATTTTTCTAGAATCAACATTTCGTAATTCTTGTTTATCAATAAATAGTAAATCTATTAATTTTAAAGCATATTTGACTGTATTTTCTTTTGTTCCATATGTTTTCAATAATTCAATGACAACACCATCACTTCTGGTATATGTCTAATATGAAGAAAAAAACAAGTAAAAAACCGAGAATCAGTAAGTACTCATAACATATGCGAATAGATGGTTTTAAAATTTAGCTACTTACTGGTTCAAGATCAGTAGAATCAGTATCCTTGACATTTGAATTTTCATTATCATTTTCAAGAACGACTGGAATCTAGAAAATAAAATGGTTCTGCAGGAGCAAGAATATATTAAGAAGAGTTCTTCTTAATTTATGTCGATTTAAACTCCTAGCAATTTTTTTTTGATTTGTAGACAAAATATTTAAAAATTTCTCTTGACATTCTAACATGACTGCTACCTGCTCTTGTTGTTTCTGCAATTTCAGCAAGTTGGCATTAACTTGTTTGAAATGATTTAATATTTGTTGCAAATCCACTTGTTGATCTTCATCTTTTCCGTCATCATGATCCGTTGTAAAACGTAAACATTTGGCAATTGGTATTTTTGTTGTTGCTTTGACATACGTTTTTTTGAATTTGTAGATAATGGTAATGGTATAAAATTTAATGATACATCATGTTGCGAATCATCTTCGTCATCGTGTAATTGTAAGTCAAAATTTTCATGTTCGTCATCATCTGAACTTAATAAATCATGATCAGATCCTTGTTGACCTTACAACATATAGCAAAAAATTCGGTTAAATAGAAACTGATTTATTACCTTGAGTACGTGTATGTAAGTTTACGTTATCATCAACTAAATGAGATTCAGATGGTAATAATAAGGGTAATATTTGAAATGATTCATTAGTAACTATTGGTGTTTGACCTGTTTACAGAAGAGAAATCAGTAAAAACCACACGATTTTTCAAAAATTACTAACCAAAGGCAACTTTTTTTAATGAAAATTCTTTTGATGCAGGAGCTAAAAACAAAACTAAACAATAACTATACATCATTTCAGTAGTGTCATTTATTCACTTTCTCGATTTTGAAGTGGTTGTGAGTGGTGTTGTGAAAGATTTTAATTGATTTGTTTTTTCTTGAGTTGCTCTCCAATCTTCACAATCAGAAGGAACTTCTTCGTGCATTTTAGATTGCATTGCTTTTTCAAATAACTGAGCATACCTTTCCATGGATTCTTGTGTACCTAAATATATAAAAAAATAAACTCATATTAATTATTTATACAAAGATAGCTATACCAGTTTGTTCTATACGAATATTATAAGATTTTCCAAGCTCTTTAATTATACCAAAACCTCGATCATCTACGTTTGACAATCGTTTTGAATCAGCTATACTGTATTTAAGTGGATCATCAGGGTAAGTAATGCATGAATAAGTTTTTTTTTCTTTTGAAACACGTTGTGTGAGATCAGACCGTTGACAAATGTTCGAGTTTGGAGACATCTAGAACAAAGAAAAAAGTACAAAAAATACAAGTATGTAGGAAGATGAGAAGAAGAAAGTTTTTTTATTTTGATTTCTCACAAGGAAAGAAAAATAAAACGATTTAATTTAAAATAGAGAAGAAAACACATAGTTAAAACTTTGATATCATAAACAACCATATGAACTACATAAAATGAAGCCAACATAAACAAAATAAGAAAGAAATGAAAAACCACGAAATACTAACTCATTTACTCGTTTCTCTCTTCTTTTATATCTACTGCTCTACCTAATGGATTTATCTGTTACTCCTAAGAAAAACGTAGAAGATGTCGGTGTATTTTACACATCATTATCGGACATAATGGTTGAGAATTAAATTGTCCATAAACTATGCCCTTCTTCATCTGTATTGATTTTTATACACACTGCAATGCAACAATTGTTGCATTGCAGTGTGTATAAAAATTAATAGAGACAAAAAAGAACAAAGTGTATCGTCAATTTAATTCTTATGCTCCAAACAGATTAGACGAAATAACACTGAATTCAACAACGTGATTGGTCTGTTCATATATAAATCATTTTTTAGAGATGATTTAATGGTTGATTCAGTTGTATTTCGTCTAGTCTGTTTGATCCCTTATTCATTTTGTCTGATAATAATGTATGAAACACCTCGAAAGTTCACACTTTTTTCTTATGAATCAAAGATAGAAAAATGCTAAACGAGTTAGTCTTTCTTGCCTATTCATTACTTATTTATATTTCTTTTGACAATGTTTCTGTTTAAAGAAAAAGAAGAAAATAGTAATAATATTTAATCGTGTTCACATTTTACACCCCTTTCACTAATATATTGGTATTGTTGGAATGGTACCGATATACATTTATTAACAATACGACTAGCTGGAATGATAACATGTGTATCACTTAAAAAGCAAATAGGATAAAACAAATCGATTGTATCTTTCAATTCATCGGGAATTTCTAGAAAGTCAGAAATTTGAACATCAGCTCGATGATATTGTTGTATTAATAAATACCGTACACTGTTGAATACATAAAAAACAATAATATTACTATAATGAATTTGTTGATGATTATCATTATACGATATTAAATAACTCATACACGTATATCGCTTGCTATATAGGAATGAATGATAAGTTAGAAATTTATCTTTAAAGCGTAAATATAATTTGGTCATAGTAATATCGTGTTGTAATTTATTTAATTGTTTTACCAATGTATTGCGATAAGCGTTCAATAAATGGCTATCTAGATTTATTTCATTCACTAGTAATGGTGATGGCAGTTTAAATTCTTTGCAAGGTATAATTGTATCAGTATCACACGAGTAACCAATTTGTGATCCAAGATTGTTTGTTCCATGAGATTTATTTTTAATATGTCAAATTGCTGATTCACAACAAAACGAAGATGTAAAAGCTAATCCGCCATGATCTAGAACAAAATAACCAACAATATTCGGTAATTGTTCAAATAAAAACATCACCATACAAAGAAAAATGATGAAACTGGTGGGAGAAAATATCGTCACTTACTCAACACTTGTGTTGGTAGATGTAAGTGTGCATGTAAAGAGTATAGTTCAATCGGTGGGCAATATACTCTTGATGATGTTTCACAATAATAATGAATTCATTTATTAGATACTTGAATCTCTTCTCTTGTTTTGGGACCATGTACAATTGTCACAAGCAGACAATAAATGGCAAAATGTGATATATACAATGCCGGTAAATATGGTGTAAGTATTGGTAAACCTAAATCCAGAATAAATAATCTATTATTTTTTGCTTTCCAATTGTTAATTGATTGTATTGAGTAATTATATTTGACGTTAACATCATGTGGTAAACGAATAGCTGATAGAATTGAATCGATTTTATCAAGATCATTTTTTGGTAAAATTTCTGTGAAATGTCTAACTAATGTTCGTACATAGTTCAAACAAATTAAAATGCATGTAATCATATACAACATCATGAGGATAACGCAAAACTTTTAGTAATGATGATAAACCCTTAATTCCGACAATTGATGTACAACGACCACTACCACTTGTTATTTTTGCTTCAACTTCTTTTGCTGTTGTTACAAATTGTTCATGCGTTCTTAATTGATAATTATTCTTTTCATATGGATAAATAATTTGCTTGTTATACAATGTTCCTAAATATATAAGAAAAAAAGCAGAACAAAACAGACGAAGATTACAATTGTTATGAGTACAAAAAGAGAAAACAGGTAAAAAAAAAGTACCTTCTGTAATACAATTGGTGCATGTGTAATAGCCATTGAAATTAATAGTTTTCATAAAAAGAGATTTAGCTGGTAAATCTGAGACAAACATTTGAGTTTTAACATTAATTTTAAATTCATAATCATTGACAAATATCATTGTACCATTTTCTGATAAGTCAATTAATTGTTCTATGATATTTTCTAAAAACAAGTTAAAATCCGGCTTAATACATGACACCCAGAATCCTAACGTTAAAATGTTCGATTGATATTCACGCACAGGTGGGAGTAACTCGATGATTGAACTGAACCACGGCCACAATGCGGATTTTGTTGATTGAATGAGTGGTGCATCATCGGCACGTATATTAAGAGTAACTGGATGAGTAATTCTTTCTGTTGTTGATCGGTAGCGAATACCATTTGAAATGTCGAATGCTGGAAAAAGTTCTTCATGACCAGAAAAAAAAGAAAAAAATTTCGTCGAATAATTGACTGTAATTTTTGTCTAATATTCATCGTAACAATTTCTGTCAATTGTCTTTTGGACAATTGTGAATCAGATAGAGTACAAGCTGAATTAGAACAATAATGTTGACCATTTTGTTTGGTGGTTAATGTTAAACAATCATTACAATAAAATTTTGTGACAAATGATGGAGTTACCAAATATTTTCAGAATCTGTTTAAATGCTGTTGGAAATTTATTAGGTGTCGGTAAAATAGATTCTATTAAACGCATCGTTGTAACTACTTTCAGTTTGTCGAAATTTGACTTAATACAAAATGTCATTAACTTTCTAACAGCTTCACCAGTTGTGATAGTTGATTGTCGATATAGCGGTGGTGTATCATCTGATTGAAACGTCCTATCATCACCTATTCCCACATTATCATGTTCGTCTGGTAAATAATGATCTTCAAAATGATCTTCTTGTTCATATTGATTCACTATTATTTTTGGTGCATCATCTGATAACTGATATTCAATATTGTTCATTTCGGCATTCATTAAATCTGTATCACTAACAAAGCTACTATTAACAGTTTGTTGATATTGGATCTTCTTTTTGTTTCTCTGGTGTCTTTGTTGTGCTACTCTTTGAGAGCATGTATCAGGCGTGTCAGACATTTTCAAAAAATGTGACAAATATAATAAATCTAACATACAAAAAACAAAGAGTTTTAGTTGAAAAGGATCAATTATAGAGCTTGATGGATGAAATCACAATTCATTGTAGGCACCTGAACGGTCTTGCAAACAGTTTTCTCGGAAAGATACTAGGTACAATACCTGATTTGCAGAATATTACTCTTTATTTGTTTTTGCTCATGAGAATTAACAGTATTTTTCTTCATAAGAGTGTAACAAACAATTATAGATTAAAAATGATCAAAATAAAAATACGTGAATGTATACATATATAAAACAAAGAAGCGTCACCATTTTGTCGCATTGGTCAGAACTCATTAATCAATAAAAAATGAGACTGATATGATACATGGTTGAACATACTAATCTTGGAGAGGTTCCAAACTTCTCTAGTATAACATGCTACATATACTCTTAAATTCGTTTTCAGGTCAGAAATTACTGAGAATTGCTATAATTTCTTAGCTTGACTCAAAAAATATTAAGTTAAATAAATCGCCAATTTAATTACACTATATCGCTAATATAAAAAAATTGCCGATCAATCGCGATTAATTGGCGATTTTTCTTCATAATCGCGATATTTCAAAATACTAACGATTAATTGCGACTATGAAAAAATCGCCAATTAATCGCGATTAATCGTGAAAATTTTTAGATATAGGGTATGGTCTAATTAAATCGATAATGTATACGTCTGCAGACGGGGCACAGTAGAGACCAACTGCTACCTTGTTATGCTTTGGAATTNAAATACTAGCACTTGATGGGCCAAGGTTACCGTGCCACATTTTCAGTGTTTGGGCGAAGGGTACCTAGCAATACTATCACTTGATGGGCCAACGGCATCACATAATAGTAGAGGGTGTCGACCCAAGCGTAGCCCCAATACTATGGCTTTAGGAACCAAGGGTACCGCTCAATAGTAGGACTTGAGGATCTAAGGGTACTCCAAGAGGTAGGGCTTGAGGACCCTAGGGTACCCCTGAATAGTAGGACTGCAGGATCTAAGGGTACCCCCAATAGTAGGGCTTTACGACCCAAGGGTACCCCTGAATAATAGGACTTTAGAACCCAAAAGGGTACCACCTATAGTAGAGCCCGAGGACCCAGTGGAACTCCCTATAGTAGGGCTTGGAGACCCAGCAGTGCCTCCATAGGATAGTCCTGGAGGACCTGTGGATACTCTTATAGGATAACCCTTGCGAATCTATGAGTAACCTCGTAGGATAGTATCTATTTTAATTTTAAGTTCAATTCGTTCAAAAAGAACTGTTTAGAAAGTTCAGTTCGTTCAAAAGAACTGTTAAATCAGTTCAGTTCATTAGAGAAGAGCTGTTCGAATAGGTCGGTTCGTTCGAAAAGAACTGCTTAAAGAGTTCAGTTCATTTGAAAAGAACTGTTAAAAGAGTTCAGTTCGTACAAAAGAACTGTTCGAACAGCTCAGTTCATCTGAAGCGAACTGTTCGAAGCAGTTCAGTTCGTTCAAAAGAACTGTTCGAGCAGTTCTTTAAGCTCATGTGAACAGAGTTTGTGAAGCAAGCTGGTCGACCCCTAGTTACTGATCCAAACGGATTTTCATGAAAGAAACGACTTCTTAAGAAAATAACGATTTTTTTATAAAGATTGACGGAAGTAAATCTTGATCGAGATGCCCGAATCTGAGATCGTTTTTTCGAAATTTTGAGTTTTGATTTCCCAGAAAAAAATTTCTTTCTGAAAGTCGTGCTTTTCCTAGAAAGTTTTTTTCCAGAACGAAATGATTTTTTGCCTGAAGAAAACGTTTTATATGGAAAGTTGAACTCAAAATTTCAATAAACTGTTTTTCGATTCAGATTTCCCGACTCTGATTTTCTTTACGCAACCTCTATAAAAAAAATCATTATTTTCTTAACAAATTATTTCCTTCGTGAAAACCGATAACCGTAGGTGGATTGATAATCGTATCTGCGGTTATCGTAGTAGGACTGGTACCCAGTCAGAGAAGACCATAAAAAAACGTGTTAGAATTTCGTTAAAATACCGTTTTAACAATAGCACACCGTTAATATGGCGTTTTAACTATTTTTTGAACGCGCTTTAATACGTTATCACATGTAAACGTTAAAATGTGTAGATTATTCTGTAGATTTACGCGTTTTTTCCTGTTCACAACTCGTATTGCATGCGTTTTTACGCGTACTTTTCTTAACGAGTTTTATTAAGCACAACATTGACGCGTTAATTCTCTTTTTTACTGAAGCAATCAAGTACATTTTACCTGATTTCGTATTGATGTGATTGAAAGGTTCTCCTTATGTCACTCAACCAAGTGGCGATTATATGTTATGAACTGTAAAAATGGCATCATAATTCTTTTTTTTTTTAAAAACTAACCCGCCAGAAAAGTGATCAGTCAATTATATCATGAGATGCCTAATTCGAGTTCGAATATAAATGAGCCTCCGAAAGCATAAAGTCACTTAAAAAATAAATGAAATATATTTTATTAGAATTATAATTCTTATCATTGTGATGAGGCACCCATGTTAGTTTGGTCAAAAAGAAATTTTATGTTAGTTATAATTCTTGTAATTGAGAGAAAAATCTTTTTGTTTTTGATCGAACTAACATGGGTACTGCTTTTTTTTCATTTATATTCGAGTTCGAATTAGACAGCTACTCCTATTGTGACAAAATTCCTAAAAAAATTGAGAATGTATTTAGAAGAATTCGAAATGTTATTTTAAAACAGAAACAGATGATCAATATTTAATGAAAATCAATTGTTAAACAAAAGAAAACGCTTGATATTAAAGTAAAATAAATATTTAAAAGTGTTTTCTTCTCTCAATTAAATTACCAAAAATTCTTTGAAATAGATCGATTTCTATAAATGTTTCTGCCTTCTTTGTTTTCATCGAAAAAGTTTTCATTTGACAGAATTAAGATTACTGAAAATAATAAATATCAAATCTAAAATAGTATTTATTGTATTAATGGAAATAAAACTGAGTAAAAAGAAAAATATGGAATCGAATGACATAGGCAAAAATGAATATTATGAAAAGTTAATTATCAACTGTTTAATTTATATATTTGGTTAAGATTTGTTTGTAGAAAATATCATGTTCGATTTTCAAAAGACGAGAATTTCTGAAGCAAGTTTCTAGATACATGAAGTGAGTATCATAACTTAACTTATGAATTTTTCCAGATGTTAATACATATATTTAGAAGAAATAAACAATTTGAAAATAGAATTCTAAATAACCACTTGAATTGATCGTAAAAACAACCGTGCATCAAATTGTTTTCAAAGAGGTTTAATCATTGAATAAGAACGACATCTGTTACACACTTGTTTGTAGAGATTTTTTAAAATTTATTAATAAAATAAATTTCTTAAAAATATATTTTACTATATTAATAAGATGATTAATTAGTTGTTTAATAATGTTTGGTTATTTCAATGAACCATTAGTAATGAAAATATTCTCTATATAATATATAAATGAATCATTCTTGCTGATTCGTGAACGACGAAGGAAGAAACGTAACAAATATGGATATTAAATTCTTTCGTCACGCTAAAATAAAACTCAATCTTCAACTTACATCATCGAATTGATTAATATTGACAATTTTTTAAATCATTTTACCAGTATTTTTTCTAGTTAAATTTTAAAAACAAAAATATCTTTAAGTTGAACTGTGTCAATACTGTGAGACACTCGTTTGACTTTCCAATCTGTTCAGATAGAAAATGATAAATAAATTAAAGAAAATAATAATAGATATAAATAGTTCGAATATCGTTAAAGTATTTGATTTTGTTTCAGATTTTTTTCTTAAAATGAGTTCAGCATCGAGCACTGTAACGGCAACTCCAACTACCGACTCAATTGAAACCATTTTTTGTAAGTTTTTTCTTTTTATTTCACATCAAGCATAATTAAGACAAATATTTTATTAACAAGTCATTTTTAATAGAGAATAAAATTTTCACTAAAATTTCAAATAAAACAAATTTTAATAAGTTGATAATTATTTAAAAAGATTACAAACAATAAGTTATACTTGTTATTTAATTTGTTTGACGTTTTTTTAACCCTTTGAGAATCAAGGTTGTTTATACATAATTTGAAAATTTCAATAGAAATTGAAAGTCTTTGAATTTGTCCGAGGAGATTTCACGATTGTTTTGTTTATTTTTCTATTTCAAACTTCTCTATTTGTGTCAATATAGTAAGAACAAGTATTATAATTATGATAGTTAATATTTTTCAGGTTATAACTGATTCTAACGCTACAACTTTGTTTATTTTATTTAACAACAAAATCAGAGTCGTCAAAGGATTAATTTCTTTTCACAGAGTCATAAAATAAATTTGATTTTCAGTTGAATTTGGGAGAACAAATCTCTAGAATATTTTCAATAATAACTAAGATTTATTTCAAAATGAAACATATAAAGTCTATTACAGCTTAAAATGTTTTGAATATTCGAGTTTTACGTGATATATCTTTGGAGTTGGAGCTCAATTCAGAGATTTTGAGATCTATGAGACTTTGGTAATTAATCGATGAAACAACTTATTGAATAATATAAAGCCGTGATTGTTCATATTTTGACTATAATATTCTAATATTCATTTCAATGTCAAATATAAAAGACAAGAGAATTATTTATACTTTTGAGAGACGATATTTTTCAAGTTAACTCTAATATTTACTCGGTAGAATAACATTTAATATACACTAAAATAGATTAGAATGTTTTTCTTTTCTAATGAATGTCCCATAATAAATAATAATAAATCTTGATGCCTTTTTTTTCTCTTACTTCCTAGACATAAGAAGTTTTCTTTTTATGTCAAAACCTATAGAACTTAAACTTGTAAAAAATTGTTAACTTTGTTTTTCAAACAAGCTTTATTTTGTGTTGTCACCAAATTTAAAAGATTCAACGTCTACTCAATAATTTTTACTTTTATTTCCTATTTTTTGCTGACAGTTATTGATATATGTAAAATTTTTGTTCATCAAAATCTATACGAAAAGTAAATTACATAATACTAATAGATAGAGAATAATGTGTTCTATGTCTTGATGACCTTTTTAAGATACTTGAAACTTGTGTTTATGATAAAAAGACGTTGAATTACCAATTGTCGATATTTTTGAGTTCACTTTTAGAAAATCATATTTTCAAAAGTGAGATTTATTCTATAAAATATTTACTATTATGTTGTCGAGTGTAGAATTTAATTGTGAACTAAACGATCTAAATATCAAAATGAACAATGAAAATATTTTTAGTGTTTCGTATATTAGAAAACAATAATGGTATGAGTCTATCAGAAAAAAAGACTTTTTTTCTGATGTTTTTTACGTCAAAACCGTTGGTCTCATATATGTTTTGTTAAATTTTGAAATATGTATCGAGAGATGCAGAATTAAAATATCAATTTTGCGAGATAGTTAAAAATTTATTGGGAACTATATTAAAAAATTCTTATGATGTTTTTGTTTTTTTGCTAATTGATTATATGAATTTGTATATTTTGTTTTTATTGGTACATTGTAAAGATGTCAACATGAAATATGATTCGAGAAGAGTGATGATAATTGTAAATATTTGCTCGTAAGAATTTGTCTAATTCTTTTGTTTAATAAAGTATTATGAAAAATGATCATTTTCATTTAAGATAAAAAAAAAAATATTTGATTAAAATGTAATATTTATTTCAGTTAAAACAACAAGTCCAATTCATAAAAATGCCGATCCAAATTTAATGAATTTATTTTGTTCAAAAGTAAATTCCGATCCTGAAGGTCATCATCAAGCAATTCGTTTAATAGCTCATAAAATTCAATCACCACAAGAACACGAAGCATTAAGAACATTAGAATTACTTGATGTTTGTGTTCAAAGTTGTGGAAGAAGATTTCATCAAGAAATTGGAAAATTTCGTTTTCTTAATGAAATGATTAAACTTGTTTCACCTAAAGTAATATTATTTTAATTAAATTTAAATAAAATAAAAATATATTTTGTTTGTTTGTTTGTTTTTAGTATTTAGCAAGTCATACATCAGAAAAAGTTAAGAAAAAAGTAATTGAACTTTTATATTCATGGACACAAAGTTTACCGAGTGAAATAAAAATAAATGAAGCATATCAAATGTTAAAACGTCAATCAATAATAACTGAAGATCCTATTTATATAAATAAACCATCAATAATACCATTATCACAAAAAACAAAATCAATATTTGATGCTGATGAAGAAAAAAGCAAAGTAAAATAAAATATTTTTGAATTTTATTTAGAAAATACTTTTTTTCATTTTTAAGACTCTTCAACGTTTATTAAAAAGTCGAAAACCTGAAGACCTTGAACAAGCAAATGTGCTAATTAAAAGTCTTGTGAAAAAAGTTTGTCATTTGAAAAAGTTTTTTTTTTTTTTTATTTGTTTATTTCATATTTTGATTTTAATATAGGATGAAGAAAAAATCGAAAAATTATCAAATAGAGCAAGTGAATTAGAAAAAGTTCAAAATAATATTCGAGTTTTATCTGAAATGCTTATTCATTATAATCATTCAACTGTAACTGAAGCGGAAAAAGAAACAATGAGTGTTTGTATTATTATTATTATTATTATTATTATTTGTTGTTTTGTTTATTTTGTTTTTGTTATTCTTTTTTTAGTATTTACATGATGAATTAGAAAAATTTCGACCAGTTTTATTTCGATTAGCAACAGAAAGTGAAGATGGAGATGAAGGACTTGGTCTTTTTTATTTTATTTTTATTTTTTTATTTTTTTATTTTTTTATTTTTTTATTTTTTATTTATTATAGGTGAAATATTATCGGTAAGTGATTCATTATCACGAATATTATCACAATATGAACGGTTAGTTACACAAGACAATTATAATAAAGATGGTTTGTTAGAAATTATTAAATAAAACAAAAAATATATTTTCTCTTATACATATATATATATATAGATAATGTTCTTCCTTTATTTGATAATATTCTTCCTGTTTCAACAAGTTCTACTCAACATACATTAATCGATTTAGCTGAAATATCAAATAGTTAGTTAACAGTTATTCTTAAATAAAATGCAGCAATTATTTATATTTCTATATGAAATAATAATATTTATGAACTAAAAATCAATGAACATCATTTAATAATTTGTGAGAAGAAAACAAAATTGCAGAATAATTATTTTATTAAAATTAACATTACCATTGATAAAAATCAATATATAGATTAAAAAAAAAAACAAAAAAACTACTGTTTAATTCCAATAGTAAAATTTTTGTCAAAAAAATGATTGATAACAATAATTATATTTAATATTGAGAAAATTCAATAATTTAATTGATTAGTTTTTATTCATAGAATAATTTCTTATTTAATATTTATCTTTATTGATAAACATCTACTAAAAAACATATAAATACGATTATTTATCAGATAAATAATGTCAAACATAATTAATCTATTTATATCTTAAGTATATTTCTAAAACTTTAACTTTTTTCAATGATTAAAAATATAGATTTCATATTGTTAATCCTTTTATTTTACAATGTAAATCATCATAAAAACCTTGAATATAAATATCAGACAAAGAATAATTCAAATTAGTTGTTTAAATATTTAATCGTGTGTAATAACAAAAAAGTCTATGAAGAAGATAAAGTTATTAGGATAAATTATTCTATCGTATAGAGAAAATACCTGAGATATGACATCTATTCTTCTTTTATACCTAATGTTGACTGATTCAGGTTATTATTTTTTATGAATATTACTACATTAATATAATATCTTATTCAACATTGTCAATTATCTAATGAAAATATTTTTTTAATCAAATTATATTTTTCTATTTTGATATTTTATTTTTAAACAAAAAAAAAAAAAAAAAAGTCAATTTGAAAATTGCTGCATTTTATTTTTTAATAATTAATATTTATTTTATAAATAATTATAATTAATATAGATTCATCAAATAAAACTAATGAAACAAAATCTGCTGCAAGTGAACTTGATGAATTATTTGGATCAATTAAAATAAATTCTGATAATACAAATAATAGTGCATCATCATCATCATCATCATCATCATCAAATACACGTGAAAATGTTAATCAACTTGATGATTGTTTACCTATTTTTCCAATAGCAAATACAAATACAAATACAAATACAAATAAAACAAATAATCAAAGTAATTTTATTATTTTTCTTAAATAATAATATATAAATAAATATGTTTAATAAAGTTTTATCAATAAAGAATACAAATGAAGGAGTAACTACAAAAAAAGGTGGAATTTTTGATGATTTACAAGATCTTCTTGTTGATCAATCAACAGGACAAAAAATCTCAATTAAAAGGTATAAATATGAATTAATATTTTTCTAAAAATAGAAAAATAGAAAAATAGAAAAATAATAAATTATTGTTTTTATTCATTTCAATCAACAAGTTCAAATTCAAATAAAATTCCATTAAATGAAATGAAAAATTCTTCATCATCAAAATCATTAGAAAGTGAATTATCATTTCCAATAATATCTCTTGAATCTATTCGTCCATCATCAATAAATCCCTCAATAAATATAAAATTAACTCATCAAACAGGTCTTCATTGTGTTCTTCATATTGCTCGAGATTCTCCACGTCCTGATATCATTGTTTCTGTATTAACTGTTACCAATACAAATACTTCAAATACAATTAATAATTTTCATTTTCAAGTAGCTGTACCCAAAGTAACATTTTTTTATTTTTATTTTTATTTTTATTTTTATTTTTAAAAAGAATATGCGAATCAAATTACAAAATCCATCAGCTAGTGATTTACCTCAATACAATCCAATATTACCACCACAAGCTATAACACAAATTTTAATTGTATCAAATCCAAATAAAGTTAGTTAACTTTTTTTTTTTTGTTTTTCTATGAATAATTTATCTTTTTTATTATTTTTCTAGGAAGCAGTTCGACTAAGTTATAAATTAAGTTATTATTTATCAGGCGAACAAATAAATGAATTTGGTGAAATAGACAATGGATTTCCTAGTTCGATTAATCTTATTTAATGTTTTATTTAATTTATATAGAAAAAAGAAAAAAAGAAAAAAAGAAAGGCCAATGAATATATTTGAAAATAATGTCATCAATATTTTCTTT